ATTATTATTATTATTATTATTATTATTATTATTATTATTATTATTATTTTCTCTCTCTCTTTTAAAAGCTTATAAATATGATTGTTGGGAACAAAGGCAATAAATCTATTCACTATTAAAACCCATATCATGCAGATTATTGGCAATACGAGCATGATTATTAACTATGAAATCAGTTGTGAGATTGTAAATTGTGGCTAGTGACTTCAGTTCAGGCTTGCCCAGTCTGATGCCCTCCAGATGTGGTTAGTTCCCATAATTTCTAGCCAGCATGGCCAACAAATCGTGGAAATTAAAGTCTAGCGTATCTAGAGGGCACCAGATGGGGGAAAATACTTTATCCAAGAAACTCTGCAACGCAGGCTGAAATTTCTGGTTTGTGTCTCAAAGTTCAAATAACATGAATTTTTCAATACCGTTACATGACAATGAAATCAAAATATAGTTACGATTTAAAACTTGGGGGGGGGGGCATTTAAGAATATTTTTGGCAATAATCTGAAACATAGCAGCAATGTTTGAAAAGAAAGAACACCTCTTTCCTCCAGTTTCCTATGATTAGCTTTTTAAGTTAAATTCTCAAACCATGCTGGCTGCGATTCCTATGTTTTAGGATTCTCAACTCCAAAAACAGAGAGCAAACTAAGAGTAGCTTAAGGCATACCTTCCCCCTGCAAAGCTTTGTTGAAATTTCTCAGCCATAAGATGTTGTATGGTTGTTCTAATGCTGATTTCTTACCACTGAGCTCACAATGGGATGGAGACAGAAGATTTCTTAAATAATAATTCTAATAACCAACAGTGTCCTAAACTGAGACAGCCAGATTCTTTTCTCTTTGTGGCCCTATATTTTTTTACTCCTTTTATTTTATGATCATGTTTGGGGCTCTTTTCTTTTTGATCAGTGCAAGGAGAACTTGCATCTGAACTCAGAAAATGTTCAGACACCAACCAATACATAACACCCTACTGCGATTGCTTTATTAAGTAAATATACTTGGCCAGAACATTGGGTCAATCAGCCAGCTTTTGCTTCCTACACCCTTCTGTTTAGATGCCTCTGAAAGGTTTATTATCTACATACTGTTGTCATCCAGAATTCTTTACCAGCTGTAGCTCCAAACTTCTCTTGGAGGACGTCCAGATCTCAAGTCTGTTTTCCAAAGGCATTTTCAAATCCTGAACAGAGAGTGTTTAAGCTTCTGCCTCTATTATCATTTCAGCCTCAATGTTTGATGTCTTTCCAATGTGTTCCAAAAAGCAGTAGTGATTGTTTATGCCAGGTTAGATCTACCTGAACCTCAGGATACATGCCTTCTACTTTGATCCTGGGAGCAGTGGACTCAGGATAAGAAAATCTGCTGGGCTGCCTTCCTGGTTATCTGGAATTTTGTGAGTATGTCAAGGATAATCAGAAGGTAACTAGTGAAGTTGCTCCTGGCCAGCCTTTCTAACTTTCCAGGGTCTTCTCAGGGGCTCCCAGGTCAGGGCTGCAAACTCATCCATGACTTTGGATGGCAGCAAAGGATTCGAGATTTAAATATACCTTGGTTGCCATCTAATGATAGCCTAGAGTTTTGCATCCCATATCTGGTAATCTGAATGCTTCCTGCCATGTTTTTTATCTGAGGAGGTAGACATATTACCAACCAAAGCAAAGAACTGCAGCTAACTACACTTTTTACTTTCTAAAAAAAAACCTTTGTGGATCCCTGAGGCATTATAGGATTTTTAAATTTATTAAAGTATTTATAGATTGCTTTTTATTTTAAAAAATATTGAATTAGATGATGCTAGAGATTGACATTTTGGATTATGCAAAATTCCCAATTAATTTTGTCTTTAATTTTTAAAAATCTAAAATAATCAGAGTCAGGTGGGACCAGAAGCTTGATAAGCACCGTAGTGAGTTATTCTATGCGCCAACAAGTGATTCTATGGACTTGTTGGGTATGCGTAGTTTACCTGCATAGCCAACAGGTTTACTAAATTTACCTGCAAAAAAAAAAGGCCACCTAGGTAGAGCCTTTCTTCATAACTTTTAGAACCAGGGAGTACAAATAATACATTGGCATTCATAAAACTATGTTACTATATTTCAGAAATTCCAGAAAAGAGAATCTAATGATAGCCAGGTATCATCTGCCTTGTGAAAGATTATTTTTTGTACTCCTTTTACAAGTGCATGGAGTTGAAATCTTCCATCAAGAAGTATCTAAAATATTTTGTACTTTTTGCTGATATTTAGGCTGGCATTAAGCAGTCTCTCTCTCCCCAAGCAAAGGTCTTGATTTTATGCTTGGAAGATTCCATCCATTTCTACAGCTGCATCTGTTAAAGGCTTCAAAACACTTCTGAAATCACAATCCAATCTCCTTGAAAATACTTTATACTTCCAGACCTGGAGCAGCAAGCCAATTTATTTGCCAAGGTTTTAGTGCCAATTTAGACATTACAAAACCATAGATTTGCACATTCTTCCCATGGCCTCACCTTATAGAAACATCTAAATCAATCTGCGGGCACATATAGAAGTTTCAAAGAGTTGGCTCCTTTCTGTATGATTTCCCAGGTTTTTTAGCTACAAGGAAGGGTAAACATACGACACCCAGGAAGGAAGGAATGGCTTAGATCAGTGTTTTGGCCCCATCTGCTCTTCTTTCCTGTTGGGCGGGGCGACTCCCACCCTAATATTTCCCAGCATCGGTTCGGCTCTCACCACACAGCGAGCTGGG